CTGTTCCGAGGAAGAAAGATGAGGCGTTCTGCTCCCGTAAAGATTTCCAGCCTCAGAAACCCTGTACAGGGTCACTATACATGGTCATTATGAGTCGGAACCAACTCCATGGTACTTAACACAACAACAACAAATATATATATATGTATACAGAGAGAGAGTGAGAAAGAGAAAAGGGCTACAGGAAAAGAAACAGATTTGTAACAAAGTGTGTCCAGTTGAATTTGAGATGGCAGCAGGATATACAATTAGATGGAGATGGGAAAATTAAACTTAGTGAAGAACTTGAACGAGAAATATCTCTGGATGCTGAGATGGTGATATCTGAAAAACTGCTAATCAAGAGGGGTTATAGAGAAAAGAGAAAAGCCTCAAAGACAAATTTTGAGTAAACGCACATTTCGGGAATGAATGGAAGAATCCAAGTCAGAGAAATCAGAGAGGAATCAGGAGAATCCAGTCAAGGAGGCAAAAAAGGTGAGGTGAGGGTCTCAAGGTGAGGGAATGGTCCACATGGTCAGATGCTTGCTTGCATGAAGACTGACACATCCTTCAGCTTAGGACAAGTCATATTTACACCTCTTCACTGCCACCCAATGGCATACTGCAATTGCCACTCACTTCAGTGTAACAACAGTACTATATATGAGTGAGGATGGAACAAAACTCAAAGTTTAGTTCTTATGTTTTTCTTACAACAAAACAATAAAACTTCTCTCAGAGGTGCATAGCATATAATTTAGTTTGCTTTGTTCTAATGAAATCACATTGATGGTTCCATGTGTCACTCCTTTACTGCTAAATGATGCGATATACAATTAAAGAAGTGACTCATGAACGCAGACACACAAAATTAGTGGTTTTTCCTTAATTATCACTTTAGATTTAATGATAATTTGTAATTTGATGAGACCTGGGGACGCCATAGGAAATAAACGACGAACTGACCTTCTGTAGATCAACAACCACAGTTAAAGAAACAGGAAAAGAAGATCCCTCCAAAGATTGTCCACTTCCTGTCCTGCTCTTAACAACATTAAAACTTCGTCACTTAAGAAGACAGAGCACTGTAACTTGCCACAAAAGCTAGCAAGATCAGTACTTCCTATATCCAAATGCCTAGGGGCAAGTGTAGGGTCTCAGCAAGTAAACTGAAATCAGTTACTGTTGAGTTGATTCCAACTCAGGGCACTCTGTGTATGTCAGACTAGAACTATGCACCACAGGGTTTTCAGATGGCGGCCATGCCATTCTTTTAAGGTGCCTCAGGGTGCACTAGGACCTTCAACCTATTGGTTAACAGCCTAGCATGTTAACCCTTTGTACCACCCAGGAACTCCCTCAATAAATTAACATCTAGTATTTCTCAGACTCTGGTCCTACTCCCAATCCTGGATCCTATCATACTTCTTCATAGACTTCTAATACTGCAGTCACCCATTTGCAGTAAGGCCCACAGAGTTCTCTTGGGTATTCACATACCCTGGACTCTGGGGATCACCTGTGCAGTCAAGGCCTTCAACACCCTCACACCTGTGGCAAAGCCATCACAAAGGTGTGATGTAATCACCCTAATACAATTTCAATGATAAATAATATGGCTTGGAAAGCCAGCTTTGTATTCTTAAGGCCCTAAGGGGTATCCACAAAACAGTGGTTTCAGTTTTTAATGCTTTGTTACAGTCTCTCCTCCCAGGCTGTGGCCTCCTTGGCATTCACTCTCAGTTCTCCTCCCCAGCCACTTACCAGCTCTCTCTCTCCAGATGAACTAGACTCTTGATGACATGAGACACTAGAAATTGAAGGGGTGGCCAGCAAACTTGGTATCAAGGTCCATGTGGCTCTCGAAAAAACCTTAAGCTGCTTGATTATAAGTATCTTTTCTTATACTTAGTATAGTTCCTGACACTTTGTTGTTGTTGTTGTCAGGTGCCATCGAGTCGGAACAGACTCATAGCGACCCCATGCACAGCAGAACGAAACAATGTCGGATCCTGGGCCAACCTCACTACCGCTGCCACACTTGACACCATCAATGATGCCACCTGGCTGATCCATCTCGTTGGGAGTCTTCCTCTCTTTCTCTGGCTCTCCATCTTACCCAGCATGACATCCTTCTCTAGCAACTGTTCCCTCCTGACAATATGTCCAAAGTATGAGAGACGAAGTTTAGCCATCTTGGCCTCCAAGAAGCACTCTGGCTGCACCTCTCCCAAAACAGATCTATTGGTTCTTTTGGCAGTCCATGGCACTTTTAGTATTCTCCTCCAATTCAAAGGCATCAATTCTTCTACAATCTTCCCTATTCACTGTCCAGCTTTTGCATCCATATGAGGTTAGTGAAAATACCATGGCTTGGGTCATGCGCACCTTAGTCCTCAAGATGACATCCTGTAGTAGGCACTTAATAAACCTTTGGCCATTGAATAGATGGATGGATGAATGAATATGTGGATGAATGTTGCTATGGGGTCAAACAGAAAGACATGCACAATTTACTAAAATTCTCTTAGTTACTTATGTACAAAATAGTCAATAATACTCTTCTCAGTGTTAAAAGAGATAGTGGGTATAAAATGCATAACAGTGCTAGAGCTTGACAGACAGTAGCTGCTTAATAGATAAGATTTTCTCTTCCTTCACAATTGATAGCACCATGCTTGGCACTCAAAAAAAAAAAAAAGCCTATGAAGTCTATTACACTACTAGGCATGTGTGAGAAAGTCAATAAATGCTTTCTGCACTAAACTGTAATAAAAGCAGAAAACTGAAATGGAAATAGTTATAACTTATGAGAATTATTTACCAATGACTTCAGTATGCTCATTTTCTTCTTGAAATTAAGTAGCCTCTATTTAAAATGTAGAGTCCTTTTGTAGTTCTGTGGGATACATAGACTGCCAACCACAAGGTCAATGGTTCAAACTCATACAAGGTCACTATGAGTTGGAACCAACTTGACGACACATAATATCAAGTACAATTATGATTTTCATTTTAAAAATGAAAAACTGAGGTGCAGAGAAGTTAAGTAAACTTGTTCCAAATCATGCACCTAATAAGCTGAAGAGCCAAGATCCCGTAACAGTCTATAAGGTCTAAATATCTGACCCAAAGTGGTCTAAGAACCACTTCTTACATATTCAGAATTAAGGAACAAAGGGTCATTTTCCACAATGAGGGTTAAGCTTAGGAACTACATTCCAAGCAACTTATCATCACGATTTAGTTATGAATTGAATGGCCCTAAATATGAATGCACGTGGTGTTGGCAAAGAATACTGAAATTACCCATGCAGTGCCAGAAGAACAGACACATCTATCTTGGAAGAAGTACAGCCAGAATGCTCCTTAAAAGTGAGGATGGTGAAATTTTGTCTTACAAGCTTTGGACATGCTATGAGGAGGGACTATGCAGAATGACATTATGCTTGTTAAAGTGGAGGGTTAGTGAAAAAGAGGAAGATGACCCTCAATGAGATGGAATGACACAGTGGTTTTAACAACGGGCTCAAACATTTTAATTGCGAGAGTAGTGCAGGACTGGGTAGGGTTTTGTTCTGTTGTACATAGGGTCGCTATGAATTGTAATCAATTTGATTGCACCTAACTGTGGTGCTATAGGATAAGCACTGGACTGTTAACCACAAGGTCCACGGTTCAAACCCACCAACTGCTCCTAAGAAACCCTATATAGGGTAGCTATCAGTCTGAACTGACTCAAGGGCACTTAACAATAACAATGGAGTGTTACATATTCATGTAGTAACACAGGAGACCTGGAGTGGCACTGTGGGATAATGAGCTGGACTGCAAGGGCAGTTTGAGCCACAAGGTCAGCAGTTCAAACTCACCAGCCACTCTTAAGAAATCCTACACAGGGTTGCTAAGAGTCGAAACCAACTCCATAGCACTTAACAACATCAATGCATAACATGATCTTATGGTACCATGAGTTTACAATCTATATGGCTGCCAGTTCAAACCCACCAGCTGCTCCTTGGAAACCCTATACAGGGTTGCTGTCAGAACTGACTTGAAAACACTTAACAACAACATAATAATGTAGGCCATGCTTAGCATAAAAATAAGAAAAAATCTTCTAACTTGCTACCTTTTTTTTTTTTTTTTTTTTAAAGCACTATAAATACCAGGACATAAATCTACTTGACACTATAGTTTCCTCATACTGATACACATAGCAAAGGTGTTTGGAATCATAAAGACAGCTGAGATTTTGACATTCAGCTATAGACTGCTAAAAGAAACTCATTTAACCTATCTAACAAAATGTCATAGATACTACTGATGGTTTAAGTCAAGCAGGCATTAAAGCTCATTCCTGAATCCTAGTTGATCCTTTGTGTATAAATACAGAAATAATAGAACTGATACGAAAATATATTTACATATATTAGCATTCAAAAGAGAAAGAAAACAAGGCTCAGTTATTTCACATTAAGATTTCTGTAGAGAAATACATTCTTTCCAACTTCTGAACTCATTGTAATTTACCCTGTTAATACCTTGATTATGGGCTTAGGTTTTCTATCTGTTGTCATACACTTAAAAAGTCATTTGTTAACTTCCATACTTGATGTAGAGTCTCTAAGTAGTGCAAACTGTTAACAGACTTGGCTGCAATGGAAGATTGTACTTGGAGGTTCGAATCCACCCTTGGTGATCTACTTGTAAAATTTCAGCCATTGGTGATCTACTTGTAAAAATTGGTGAATCCACCCTTGGTGATCTACTTGTAAAAATTCAGCCATTGAAGATCCTATAGAGCACACTAGGGTGACAATGGCAACCCCCCCGTCCCCACTAGATGAAAATATAAAGAGTGCTGAGGGATTTCTCTAGTTCTCATACTTACTGTCTTGCACACAACAGGTGATCAACCAAATTTTGTTGAATGAATGAGACACTTTATTTTTCAAGCAGAAACATTACCTGTACATGTTATACCAGAAGACAGGAGATATTTGACATAAACTCACATCGCTTGGTGGATAACTCGAGATTTCTCGAGAAGGTACTCAGAAATCTGTGCTCCCACCACAGCTCCGGAAGAAGTGAATCTCATTTCTAAGTATTTTCCAAATCTGCTGGAATTGTCGTTTATAATAGTGCAGGCATTGCCAAAAGCTTCCACCAAATTGTTCACTTGTAAAATCTTCTCTTGAAGTGTTCTATTATTAGCCTAATGAGAAAAAGCCAAGTCATATATAAAGCATGTAAAAAAGTATTTTTTTATGTAATAAAATCTTTTTTTAAAAATGTTTTGTTGTGAATTATGTGATAGTTTACATGGGAGAACATTACTTTTACATTCATCCTATTGTATAGTGCTTCATTTCCATGTTTACAATCCCCTCAACACATCATCAACCAACCAAAGGGTACATCCTGTAAGCCTGCTCCCTGGTGGTCAGCTCACAGCCCCTCTCCATCTCTGGGTCTAGAGTCCCCAGCCTCTCCATCTCTCTATGTCATCATCTCTGCCTCCATCTCTGGCATCACTGTTTCTCTGGGTAAGGTCCCGATCTCTGCGCTTCTCTCTTGATGGTCACAGGGACCTCCGCTCCTGGTTAGAAAGCAAGTTTCACTGAAGCCAGTCCTAGAATTATTTAAGTGTTGTTGTTAAGAGGTTCAAATTGATCTTGTGGTCCAGTACTTATTCTACAGTGCACACCAGGACTCTGTAATTATTTCATTACTGTGCTTCAAAATAACATAGAAGATACAGCATTTTTTATAAGGAATTACAGAAATCATTATTCCCATTCTCTATACAATTTCCCAAAGTATCCAGATGCATATTCCAACAAAACTCAAGATGAATAATACAAGAACAAGCAAGTTGCTCATCCAGGAGACATCAAGGCAAGTGGTGGGGTCCCCTCAGGGCAAACCCCCTTCCAAGACTAAATGGGAATACACGTGCTCTGACTGGTGACCATGTTGGTCACTGATAAGGGGAAGTGAGGGAAAAACAGCAATGAAGCAGCAAGCTAAGCTCTTCCACATTCAATAGATTCCTGTGAATCTGGGTAAAGACCTGGTTGGCCAGTAGTGTGGCAAGACTTGGGGCATCCTGGGTCCAGAGTCAGTGACATAGCCACAGAGGACTAGAGTGGAGAGTGAAGCATCCAGCTGATGAGAAGCGAGGACATATGTATAAGAATACCCATACTTGCAGATAATACCCACTGGACCTGGCTTCAATGGCTGGATGACCAGAACTCAACTAGAAGAAGAAAGAAGAGGGGGAAAAAAAGAGTAATCTGATACAATTTGATGAACTTGACCTACATCTATAGATGCAGTAGCTCAAAAGAGGGAACAAAGCTTTACAGTGAGGATCATTCCCACCCCCTCGGTACACAGGGTGGACAGGATGGGCAACTTGGACATTGGAGACCCAAAACGGGGGGCTACAAAAGCAAGAAGTTACTGGCTTACAAGCTTTCAAGAGGGAGCCTAGATCCAGAGGGCGCGGAGGAAGGTAGAATCTCCACGGAGTAGTATCCAAACTGTCTGGGTGGGGCTGGGTGGGTGGAGGGCAGGCTTGCAGGGTATACCCTTTGGTTGGTTGATGATTCATGGAGGGGACTGTACCCATGGCAATGAAACGAAATATGATAGGATGAATGTAAAGCTAATGTTCTCCCATGTAGACTATCACATAATTCACAAGAAAACATTAAAAAAAACCAAACTCAAGTTGAATACAAGATATAGCTCTTTCAGAAATGCTTAAGTGTTCTAACTATAAAAAGGTTTTCAGCACATCCTTAATGGGATGATAGGATAGGTGGAAAGTGGGTCATTTCTCTTAAACTTATTTTATTAGTGTGTAGCCTTCAAAATGATTTTAGATTCTATGAACACAGCTATCTGATTTATTAATTAAATGTTTTATTCAAGGAAATCCTTTGCCCATTTTCTCATTATTAACACCAAGGCTGGCACAACTAGTTTTTGGTATCCTATGCCAATCACTGATATCATAAAGACTTCCTAAGGCAGGTACAACTCTTTCCTCCTGATGTTGCTATTCTGTTGCCAAAAGCTTCAAACTGTGAAGCAAGAACTCAAATGCAGTTACAATATCTTGAAACATTCTTCTCTGGTTCTGTACCTACACTGGTTTTGTGGTCTTAGGCTTAACCTCTCTGTATCCCAATGTCCTCACATACATGGGTAATAGCATTGAGTACTTCATAAAATACTGTTAACTGCTGTTGATTAGAATCCAGCTCCTGGCAGTTCCTTGTGAGGAGAGCAGAACTGTGCTCCGTAAGGTTTCAATAGTGTGTGTGACCTTTCGGAAGCACATTGCCAGACTTGTCTTCTAGACACCTCTGGGTGGGCTCGCACTGCCAACCTTTCGTCTAGTAATTGGGTGCTTAATTGTTTGTACCACCTAGAACACCCGCTGTCATCAAGTTGATTCTGACTCATAGCAACACTGTATAGGGTTTACGAGGCTGTAAATCTTTACGGGAGCAGAAAGTCTCATATTTGTCCTATGGACAAGCTGGTAGGTTTGAACTGCCAACCATGTGGTTAGTCCAGTGTTTGTCCTACAACACCACCAGGGTTGGCAGTGTTTAATTAAAAATTCTGGTGAAAGAGCTCTGAAAACTAAAAAGGGCCATATGAATGAAGGTACTACCCTCACTACCAAGAAGCTTTGATTGTTCTGTAATTCAAAATTGTTAGGTTTGACAGTGTATGAACTAGTCTCAGAAGAATTTTCTAAAAAAAAGAAAATGTATCAAAATTATGATAAATAAAAATTGAACCAACAGCGAATAACAGAAAGTGCTGGGGTAAGCTCTGTCTTTTGTAGTAAAATCTTAAAACAGCAGTAACTGATCAATAAACCTTATATATGAGTGAGAATCAAATTACTTTTAATGTGAAGCCATGCAATTCTTTGGATCATTATTTTTAAAAAATGAATTAGACTCAATGAAGCAGTTGCTTTGACACAACGTGACCTCACTCTTTGATAACGAGATTAGGTCTGACCTTCTATTCTTGGATGTTTTGTAACACACAAGAGTCCTATAATGATTGTATTGGCAAAATTTTTACCATGATTCTAATTTTAACTGTGTAGGTACAAAAAGTTTCACAGGGGTATGTCATACAAAATATCTATCTATCTATCTATCTATCTATCTATCTATCTATCTATCTATCTATCTATCTATCTATCTATAATTTAGTCAGAAGTATAATGAGAACACACAGTTCTTGTTTTATCTCATTTCAGGGATTCTTTCTGCAAATTCAAACAAAGTCTCTATCCAAGGATCTCTTTTTTAAAATATTAAGCTCTAATACACTTTTGGAGTCTTGGTGTGGCACTGTGGGATAAAGTACTGGACCATAAGGTTGGTCTGGACCACAAGGTCGGCGGTTCAAACTCACCAGCCAATTCTTGGAAACCAGGATCGCTATGAGTTGGAACTGACTCAACAGCACTTAACAATAACAACAACAACATTTTTTTTTAACAGATCCTAAATTCACCTTTTATAGTGCACAGTTCTGTGAGTTTTGACCAACATAGAATTACATAACCTCCACTACACTCAACCACTGAACATATAGAACAACTCCAATATTCCCCCAAATTATCCTCTGACCCTTTTCTTTCTTTTTTTCTAAGTTTCTGTTAATTAATTAATTAATTATTGTGACGGGTGAAAGTTTACAGAGAAAATTGGTTTTCCATTCAACAATTCATACACATTTTGTTTGGTGATATTGATTGCAATAGCCACAACGTAACAAAACTCTTCCCACTTCCTCTCTGTATTTACAATTTCCCTTCATCCTTCCTCCCAATCCATTCCCACCTTTTGATTTTGGAGGGTTGATTTCTCTAAGTGTGTTATTGCTCACTTTATAGGTTTCTTCATCCTTTGGAGAACCATAGGAAAGGAGTTAAGTTCCAGGCTTGAAGGGTGTCTAAGAGCCATAGTCTCTGGGTGGCGTTGTGGGGTTTCCACCAGTCTCTATCAGACCAATAAATCTGATCTTTTTTATGATTTAAAGTTTTGGTCCACATATCTCTTCTGCTATGTCCAAGATCAGCTTTTGTGGTCGCTTTCAGAATGGTCAGCAGTGGTATCATCGAATTCTGGTCTCAGGGTTTTGTGGAATCTGGGGTTCTCATGGTTCATTAGTCCTTTGGTCTAATTGTTTCCTTGAGCCTTTGATTTTCTTCACTCTTCTTTGCTCCAGGTGAGGAAAGGACAATTGTGGCACCTTAGATGGCTGCTTACAATATTTTACAACCCCAGTTACTACTCACCAAAGTAGATGTAGAACACTGTCTTTGTGTTTGCCAACTGATTTTAGATTCCACCAAAACTATGAATCAGAGACCCCAGGTCCAGCAACTCTTTCCCTAGAGGTTTGGTTATGGCTAAGAAGTTTTCATAACTTTGTCTCCTGTACACTCTATTATATTCATGGATCTATTTGCAGCAAAGGTAAACCCACATGTAGAAATAACCTATGTGAAATCTGTATCTATTCATGTGAGCAGTCAGAGTCACCTCACTGCTATTCAGCTTGTCTATGTATCCACTCAGATTATTGTTATTACTGCTGTGTGAGTGAAAATTAGGAAGACCCCAGTGACATGGACGGGCACAGTGGGAGCAGCAATGTGCTCAAATGTAACAATAATTATGAGTATAGCACAGGACTATATGTTTCATTTTGTTGGGTATATTATCAGTATGAGTCACAATAACAATAACAGCTAATGACCGGGGACCTTTCTTTGTTGGCTGCCTGAATGTATTTGTTGAAGTGCATGCTCACCTCCTCTGACTAATTTTTAATTGAAATGTTTTGTTATTTATGTGTTCAAGAGTAAATTGTAGAGATTAGTTCCTTGTTCAATGTATTGCTAATCATCTCCCCAGTATATATGTTCTCTTTTTACTCTTTTGGAAAATCTTTTGATGCATTGAAGTGTCTAATTTGTAGGAGGTACCAGTCATGTAATTTATCTTTTGGTGTGTGTTTTCAGTTATGTTTAACAGTGTATTTATGCCATATATACGAGCCCCCAAGTTTGTCCTTTCTGTTCACTGATAGCCTCTATAGTTTTAGGTTTTACAATTAGACCTTTAATCCATTTTGAATTTATTTTTTGTAGATGATGTGAGA